CCATATGTAATCTGACCTCAGAGCCAGGAAGAGGTTGCTGGAGGGTTGGATGCCTCCCTTTGTCTTCTGACCAGAGATCCTCCCTTCAGTTTCAAAGTCACCAATTCTGGCCCTCCTCCGAGGCCCCTCAGCAGGTCTCTCCTCTCTGTCAGGCTCAGGCCTGGGGGGCGGGTGTGAGGGCTGAAAACCCTTGTGTATATTCTCCAGTCTGGGTTCTAGCACTATTCTTCCCAATGCCTCAGGCCACCTCTGACTGCACAAAATCAAACTGCCCAAAATGACACATCCACCCCCCGCCCCCCTGCCTGCAGACCACCTCCCTCTTTCAGCCTTATTTCCAGCAGGGACTCCAGTCACCCAGGTTCAAAATTTCATATTTCTTCCACTTCCCTTCCTCTTTTCCCTCCCACTGAATGAGAACTGGATGCTGTGGAGCCAACCAGGTTGCTACCGGAGAGATGGCGAGAGGTGGGATGGGAGAGCAGCGGGAAGGAGGTGAGGTGGGGCCCTGAGTGCCAGGTGTGCTGGCAGTGGGGAGCTCCCAGAGGTTCTGAGCAGGAGGGCCTTGTGCCCAATGTAGCCATTTGGGGAGCTGAAGTTGCCTGCATTGGTTTCCTAGGGCTGCTGTAAGAAAGTTCACAAACTGGGTGGCTTAAAACGCTAGAAATGTATTATCTCAAATAGTCTGGAGGCTAGAATTTCAAAATGGAAGTATCAACAAGGCCATGCTTCCTCTGAGGAGTCCTCAGCTGGAAAAGAATCCTTCCTTTCCCCTTCCCAGCTTCTGGTGTCCTCTGGCAACCCGAAGACCCATATCACTGGCTTGTAGACCCATCACTTCAATGTCTGCTTCTGTCTTCACATGGCCATCTTCTCCTTGTGTGTGTCTGTCTCCCTGTGTCTTCATATGGCCTTAGAAGGACACTAATTGCTGGATTTAGGACCCACCCATATCTAATATGACCTCATCTTAAACTAGATTATTCTGTAAAGACTTTATTTCCAAATGAGGTCACATTCATAGGCACCAGGGTTAGGACTTCAACATCTTTTTTGGGAACACAATTCAACCCACGACACTAACGAGTGGAGACTGGCTTAGAAGGGCCTGGAGATTCCTGAAGCTGGGCCAGGAGGCTGCACACTGACAGGGTCGGGCTGAAATGTGGGCCCCTGAGGGGCTGATTGCTCTCTGAGCTGCAAGCTTCCCTCTGGGTTGCAGTCCGGGCAGTGGGTCCACTGCTGTGGCCAGTTGTGTGCAGTTTCTGTTTGGGGACATCCTGCAGCTACTGCTGCTGGATTTCTTTCTCATCCTAATCTGCTTCTTCCTGGGAGAGGCCTGGCTCTACCAAGGTTACAGGGGGTATGTCCCTGCTTGGGACAAGGAGTAGGTTGGGGTTCTCAGAGGACAGAGCCTTTCTCCTGTGCCCTTAAAGTGTTCCCTGAAATTACCCCTTAAGATGGTGAGTGGAGGACTGGCGCCTGCAAGGGGAGCTAAAGGTGAGGATGGGATTGCAGAAGGGGTAGAGGTGCATCCCATCCAGCCCTGGAGGGGGCTCCTCTCTGCTGTCCTCTCCCCTGGGAAATCCCAGGCTGCAGATGGGGTTGGTCCTGTGTGTCCTGCCTCCAGGACCTGGCCCCACCTGATGCGAGAGAAATCTCACCTGCTCTTACCCAAGCTCCAGGTCTGTCTCCGAGTTCCCAGCCATCTGGGAAAGGTTTGGAGTGCTCCCACATGCCACCACCACCTTCCTCTACCAGAGTCTGACAGAAGAGGGCCTCGGGAGAGCTCATGAGCACTGGGGCCCCAGCCTCTACGCCTGAGCTCCTGTAGTCAGCATATCCAAGCGAGCTCAGCTGGACCAGATGAGAGTCCCTACCTGCCTGTGACATCAGCTGTCCACCAGCTCACTCCTCCACCCAATGACCAGGGCAGTGGAGCAAAGATAAGTCAGGAGACCTGAGTTCTATGCTGGCTCTGTCACAGATTCACTGTGTGTCAGCCAATAACTTCTTCTCTCTGGGCTTCATGATCCTGAATGTGGTGTGAGGGCTGGACTCAGGATCTTCTTTCAATGTTCCCTCAGCGTTTGATGAGCCTAATTCATAGGAATGGCCCTCTGATGGTACAATTCCAGGCAGAATGCGATGGATAAACGGAAAGGGAGGTTCAGGCCCAGAGGGCTTTCCTTTTCCCTATTCATCATGGGTCACAAATGGTCACACCTGCTCCTGAAGTGAGCCTTTCCAGAGGCTTCCTACCAGCCGTCTGGTTACCTCACACAGTGCCAGCAGCATGGAAAGGCAGGAGGGTGGTGGGGGATGAGATTGGGGAGGTAGGCTAGGATCATATTGGACAAAGTGGAGGGAGAGGGAGAGGGTTAGGTGGTTCCCTTCTGAGTGCTTGCTTTGCTCTGTGAAGTGACATGTATATATGCATGCATGTACAGGGTGTACTTGTGCACAGATCAACTTATGCAGGACTTCATGCTTGGATAGGTATGAATACATGTCGGTGTGTGCCTTAACCACATACATGTACTTTTTTGTGGGTGGGTATCTATCTGTTTGAACTTAATATGTGGGTAAGGCCCCAGATTTGTGAGCTCAAAATGTTTATACTTGACTGTGTAGGGTAGAGGTGCCCTGCATGGTTCCAACAGCCCTGGGCACTGGGAAAGCCTCTGTCCCAGAGCCACCTCAATGGGCCGCCTACCTGGCCCTTGGTGCCTAGGGGGCTGTAGGTAGGACCCCAGGAGGAAGAGTTCCATTAAGCTGACAGCTTTAGGATGTGAGTTGACCATGGCTAAAAGGCATAGTTGGTCAGGCAAGCCTTTGGAAACCTTGCTTGGGGAGGGGCTCAAGGCTCAAAACAGAACCATGCAGCAAGGTCCCAAGTGACATGTGATCTGGAGATGGCATGGAGGTCCCTTAGGATCTGAGCATCAGGTCCAGGTTGGGTGGGGTGTTGCTCTTACAGCTAGCAACTGCCTTGGCATGGATATCAGAGCTCAGGAAGCATCCTGGGATGGAGGCTGGGGAGGTCCCCCTGTCTCAGAAGCCCACAGGTCCAGCACCCACTCTGATGGCCAGCTCCCTTTCCCCCACCATTATATGCTTGGAGAAACTTCATTCTACAGGATTGTGCTGCCTCCAACCCTACACTGGACTCCCCAATCCCTCTCACTGTGAGCAAGCAGGCACCTTCAGGCAGGACGGGAGCCCTGGACTTCAAATGTGAAAGCTGCGTGCACACTCTCAGTTCAGCCAGACTCTGTGTGACCCCAGAAAGTTACTTTGTGCTCTATCTAGGCTTTGTTTCTGTCTGTCCAACCCCACTGCCAGGGCCTCAGGCCAGGTTCTCATCATTTCCAGCTTGGGCTACCGCAACCATCAATTTCCTATCAGCCCTCTCAGCCTCTGTGCTCCAATTCTCCGCCATACCTACTAGACTCCCACCTTCCTGTCTTTGCTCACACTGTCACCCTCTGTCCTCTGGTCCCTCCCATCTAGTTAATTCTCCTCCTTCCAGTCTCTTCTCTGACCCTCCCAGGCGGCTCCTCTTAGTCTCACTCCGCATAGCATGTCTCCATAATGAACTATGAGAGCATCCAAGAACCAGAACCATAGTTCTGGTTCTTTTCCACCTTCATGTCTCCAGAGCCTGGCATAGGCCTGGAACTCAGTAGTTGCTCACAAAGTGTTAAATGAAAGAAAAAAATGAATGAATGAATAAATGAATGAATGAACGAACAGATGCTTGAAGGAACACACCCTCACAGAATTGATCATTACTGCCTTTCATAGTCCTTACCTCACGCTGTAGTTATTTACATATCTGATTGGCAAGTTCCTCCAGGGCAGGGGCCAGCTTTTTTCCTCCCTTATCCCCAGGGCTGAGGAGTATAACCTGCCCCAGAGAAGGTTCATAGGGCTGCCATGGTGCAATTCTGCTTCTCTGCTGCCTCCTGCTGATGAAGAAAAGAAACTGGACGAAGTCTGGAAGTTTCTCTGGCTGCAGTGGGTTCTGTCTTGCCTGGGGAACAGCAGAGGTTTTTGGAGTTCAGGGAATAATGGCTTTCCCTTATGCTGAATGTGCTGTATTCTTCATTCTTTTAATAGCCAGATGATGTTTGGTGCCGTCCTTCCCTCCCTCCAAAGCATACTCTCCATGGAAGGGTGTGTGCTCAGAAGCTGACTGATGCCCTGCTCTCCAGTTCTCCGGGCAGGTCTGGGGGGCTTCTGAGCACCTGTTGCTGAATTACAATTCTTAATTTGTCCATTCCCTCCCCCAGCCTGAGCTCCACAAAGGCAGAGATCACCTGTTCATTCGTTCAACAAATATTTATTGACGGTCAGCCTCGTGTTGGAGGTACTCTGCCCTCACTGGTTTGGGTGGATCTGTACCTTCATCTTAGTCTAGCCCCAGCCTGAGGACTGGCAGACACTTGATGTTTCTGGACATGGGACACACTAGTGGATGATTCGATAGGCAAATGGGGGAGGGGCTTTGGATCCCCTTTAGGTCCTCTAAAATGTATACTGAGGGGAGAAACGGCCCCCTCTGACCTCTGCCCAGTGGAAGTCCAGGGGAACAAACAGATAAGAACCAGTCTCAGAGCAGCAGTTGTGGTAGGGGCCCAAGTCAGGGGCTGCTGCTGGCTGCCCTGCTAGCCCCATCCTGTCTCCCTAGAACCCCATTAGTAAAACCAGGGTTGAAGGAGATGGTTGGACTGAACAACCTGAGGACCCTCACAGGTCTGTTATTTGGGACCTGTGAGAGGACCCTCGAGCCAGACCATCTCCAAGGCCCACGGCTTCTGCAGCTCCACGGCACAGTCCATGCAGGAAGGCCAGACACAAGCGATGTTCCCCTACCACACTGGGAGCAGGCGGGAAAACACAGCAGCCTGCGTTCACCGAATGACACTATGGGAAAGGCACCAGGTATGGTTAGAGACAGAGGCCCCAGGCCAGTCCCTGCCAGACCTGCTCTGTGACTGCGGACAAAACCCAGCTGTAGTCTGAGCACCCAATGCCCTGGCTGATAATCCTACTGCACAATCCAGCTGGGAGTCACCCTCTCAGCTTCATCCCTCACCCCCTCATATAGTGCAGGTCACCCAGGTGCCCGTCACTGCCTGCCCTCATCTGGGCTGGGTGGATTCGTAGGTGTCTTACTCACTTCTAATACCCAGAACCTATCAGTCAGCTGAGTAGGCCATCCGGCTTCTGGAATTAACAAATGTCATGTAATAATAGCCATGAAAACACCTGCAACGTGGCACGCTTTCTCAACGTGCGCCCACTGCGGTGAGCTCCAGCTGAAGGCTTCTTACAAGCCATGTGCTCTCCTCAGGCTGGTCAAGTGCTCGATGGCTCATATTCCTGTCCTGTCTTACATCAGAGGAGTCACCCTCCTATCCCAAACTATATTTCCTGGGCTTACTTGCCAAAAAGTTCCTGGTTAATTTGGCCCATGGGAGACTCTGATGTTAGATGACAGGCAGAGAAGCTAGCATCACTTTGTGGTATAAGGCCTTGCAGATGGCCCCTCTCATGGTGGTCCCACTTGGAACTCCGGCAACACGCCCTCCTCCCAGAGTAGTGGCTTCCTGTTGTCGCTAATCTCAAGGTTGCCAAATCTTTCTGTTTGCCCTTTCATCTCTCCCAGTACCTTTGCAACTCATTTCCCATATCAGATCCCCAGTGGGCGAAGGCCATTTGCCTGACTTGACCCCTGCTATCTCTCTCCTCTTTGCCACCACATCTTATATCACCCTTGCCCAAATCCTGCTTTTCATATTCCCTAGCCAGAACGCAGAGACAGAGACCAACGGCAGGTTGTTGGAGGCTATTTCTTTATACAAAGATAATCAACACTATGAATCCACCAGTGTGCTGCTGAGGTTCACATTGGTCCTTCTACTTCTGGGGCAGAAGTTTTAAGGGGTGGGGAGTGGGCGGTCACTGCAGGGGAAAAACACTCCACAGGCCTGGGGACTGCCGAAACCACTAGCTGGGAGCTCCTGAAGGGCAGACAAAGACACTATACAATCAAGAGCACTATAGAGTGACAGGAAGGAAATGCAGAGTGGAACTAGCCACGGACAACCAATGCACTCTTCTCCTAGGTATGCATTCTTTGGGAGGCAGGACAGTAGGTGGGAGGAGCCCCAGGCCTGGAGTCAAGAACCCCGGCTGTGCCACTCCAGAGCTAGGTGACTTCATATACTCAGTCCTGCTTCTACAGCTATAAACTGGAGGCAATAAACTGTACTTCACAAAGTTGTCATGAGGATGAAAGAAGGACATATATCAAAGTACTCAACACAGAGCCTGGCACATAGAGGTGTTCAATAATTTTTTGTCAAGAAAACCTTAGCACAGAGAGGACCTTCTTCAGAAGGTGGAAATGTAAGATAATTTCCCTAGAAATTTCCCATCAGGGGATCAGGACCCTTGAGCCCTCCTTGGAGCCTGAAGTCTCTGGAGTGGGCAGGGCCCCGGAATATTCAATGCCATGGCAGTTGAGTGGGGGAGGGAGCTGGACCCCTAAGGAGGCCCCTGTGGAACCTGGGTAGACACTGGAAGAGTTAGGGGTTGTGCCAAAATGGTTCTGCACATAACACAGGCCAGAGGCAGGCTGGTAGGGAGGCAGGCTGGGCATGTGGCCAGGAGCACAGGCTGGCCAGGAGGCTAGTTTCTGGCCACTGGCGTGCTGCATCTGGGCCACAGGGTAGCTTGGGGATAGCTGAGGGTGGCCGCTCTGTGTGGGGTAGGAGCCGGGCACAGGGTTCAGCCTAGAATGGAATAAGAGAGAAAATGGTCATTCAGCTAGAATGCTAAGGCACACAGCACCCTGAGCTGTCACTACACATAAGAAAAGCTTGGGGTCACTGTACTGCTTGATATTACAACATGCTTTGGACACCTGCTGTAACTGGCTCTAAGTACCAAGCAGGGAGAAAGGTTAAAAACTCAACCAAACAGAAAACAGATGCCCAGAGAGGCAAAAACCCGCTCATGGTACTGCAGCAAGCCAGCAGGATGAAGGTATATTGGGCTTGTGACTGAGACCACCAGAATGTAACCTACTCACAGGAGTTTGCAAACCAGATGGAGAGATGGGGACCAGATCACAGTAGTCAGTGGCTGGCTCAGCAATTCTACCAAAGAGAAAGGATCCATCCCTGTCGGAAGGAGGGAGGGAAGGCTCCAATGGGGTAACACAGGGCTTGGGCCCAGGCCTTGTCTGCTGTGAGATTTTCTACCTGTGATTTCAGGAATAAACACTCACAGCTCAAAGTCCTGGCTGGCAGAAACCACAGCGACAGATGGGGGTAAACTACCTGTGCTGAGGTTAAAGACCCCAACACAAACACACGTGGCTGGGGCTGTGAAAGGAGATACAGTCTAAGTTTTATCCTCTGAACTTTTGTGCAAAGTTCCAAATATGAAGAACGAATGTCAACACCACTGATTTCTGTTAGATGATTTCTGTATACATTTTAATTAAAACCTGACCTTACAAATAAAATGTACAAGTAAGTACAGGCAAGGTACACTGAACAGCATTTCTTCTGGGATGTTTTAACATGTAGAGGTTTTGGCCTACCAGATGCTCGACAACAGCCTCCTCCAGACAGCCATGTCAACTGCCCACACACACGTGTTATAATGTTGCCTGCGTGCCACTGTCAGGCCCTCTGACACCATATTCTGTTCTGGGGCCTATGGAAGGCCAGGATGAGGGACCAAACACCATGAGGAACATGGGAAGAACTGAAATGTTACCATGTCCTTCATCCAGATCTGTATGTCATGGTGAAGCAGGATCACATTTGGCACCAATGAATCAAGTTACAGAGAGGTAACTGTAATTCAACATGGAAAAGCTTTCTCATTAGGGGCTGCCTTGGAGAGTGAGCTCCCAGAAACCGGGGGGTGTAAGTTAAGGCTGGGTGACCATGACCACCACCAGCTGTTTTAGAGGGAACTCTTTCAGAGGCTGGGAGACTGTACTCGAGGACCCTACAAGTCCTCTCTAGATTCCATGAGAACAATTAAAAACCCAAAGCTACAATTCACCTCACTGTATATTTACAGTCTCCCACATGTTTAGACCCTAGGAATTACTTACCTGAAGCAAAGTGGGTGAATATGCATTTTTGTTTTTTGCAGTTACCCACCTCCCTCAAACATGTGCCTTTAAAAAATAGTCAAAGGGCCCTGGCTGGTTTGGCTCAGTGGTTAGAGCGTCGGCCTGCGGTCCAGAGAGACCCAGGTTCTGTTCCCGCTAGGGGCGCGTACCTCGGTTGCAGTTTGTCCCCAGCCCTGGTTGGTTGTGCGGGTGGCAGCCACTTGATGTGTCCCTTTCACGTCGATGCTTCTCTTTCTCTCTCTCCCTCCCACTCTATCTGAACAAAAAAATGGAAAAATGTCCTCGGGTGAGGATAAAAAAAAGAAGAAGAAAAAATGGTCAAAGGGCCTTGAGCCAGTGAAGGCTGAGAATGTCCACCTCCTGAAATAAGAGCAGCTTCCAATTTACAGGCAGGCATGGAGGGCTAAATTTACTCCACAGATGGATGAAAGCAGAAAGAGGCCTCTGACATCTTGACTTCACAATAAGCCCCTTCCTTTTGGTGGAACTGTTGAAGGAAAGAAAACCTCTTACAGTGTAGTCTCAACATGGACAGAAACCAGAGGAGGGTAAGAGGCCGGCAGTGTGGCACGGTGGAAAGGGAGTAAGGAAGACCTTGAAGCAGGAGACCCTAGCTTTAGACTGCGCTCTCCTGCCTGTGTTACATGGAGACTCGTGTCCTCTTGGGGCCTCCTCTCTGAAAGGAAGGAATGAGGCTAACACTTCATTGAGAGTTAATGAGCCTGGGGAGGGAAGAGATAAACCAAAGAACTTATATGTATATATGCACAGCCAATCTACACGGACACTGAAATGGGGAAGGCAGGAATGGGAAGGAGGGGGTCAATGGAGAAAAAAGGGGTACGTCTGTAATACTTTCAACAACAAAAAAGCCCTGGCCAATTTGGCTCAGCGGTTAGAGCGTCAGCCCGTGGACCAGAGAGTTCCAGGTTCAGTTCCCACTAAGGGCACGTACCTCGGTTGCAGTTTGTCCCCGGCCAGGTTGGGGTTGTGTTGGTGGCAACCAGTCGATGTGTCTCTCTCACATCGATGTTTCTCTCTCCCTTCCCCCTCTCTCCCTCCCGCTCTATCTGAAGATAAATGCAAAAAATGTCCTCGGGTGAGGGAAAAAAAAAAAAGTTAATGAGCCTAGACTAGAAAACAGTAAACCTCACCTTTTCTTGCTGGGTGGCCAAGAAAACTCTACCTTTCAGGTCTCAGGCTGTGCTGCCTCCTAAGCCACCAAGTCAGTTGTGTGGACTGTCTCTGCTTCTTACCAGTGTGCCACGCTAGAACCCAAAAGGACTCAATGCTTGCCAGTGCTGAGCGTTGGTAACACCAGACAGGTCACTCCCTCGAGCAGTCTGCCACAAGTCACTCACAGGTGCTTTATGCACAAGTGCCTCTAATGCCTTCCCCTCCCATTCCTGCTCCCGCCCTACTTCAGATGCAGGTGGGCAGAATCTAGAGTGCTCAGAAAACATCTGTGTATAGATTTCCTGGGCCCAGGGCTATCCACAACATCCTGTTCTTTTTTTCCCATGACACTGAACCAGTCACACCTTCTATAGGCCCTGGAACTGCTTTAAGAATAAGATTTAAGTTCTGTAACTTACTTCCGGTTCTGGGCTGCCCTTCTTTCAGCTGAAGAGCCTGAGATGTATTTGAATATCGGAATCCTCTTCATAAAGCTGAAAGGGAACTTCTGGTCGAGCTTCAATGCTACTTGTTCTGAGAGGTCGAGGGAATAGCAGTATGTGAGGCCATCTGAGGTTGGCGTATTAAGTAAAATTGGATGCAGCTAAAGAGAGGAAGGCTGAACACTCCCCAGGGAATACAGGTTCCCACATTTATTACATAGGGGCATTAGTTCTTTCTCTACCATAAACTCTGACTGGTGTTTCAAGTTCAGGGGAAAACAAGAGTTGAGTTTCCATCTCCCATACCTCAGAGGGAACAGAGCCCAGCAAAAGGAGAGGGCAGAGAGGTGCTCACACTTCCCCTTCCCCTATGCCAACCTTCCCTATTTCTTGAGCTCCTCTAACCCCTGCAATTGGTCATAAGCAAGCACACACCACTGTCTTTGCAGTGGGATGAGGCAGGAGGCTGTCTTAATACCTTATAGAGGGGACTGCTATCTTCTTGTACTTCTGTTCCAAACAGAAGGCACCTTGCCTCAACATGACCAAGTGAGCCTCATGTGGATCCCTTTGGCAGCACTTCCCCTACACCGTCACTACTCCCAGTGATGCAATGATACTCTGGTCATCTGACTGTGTCAACCCACTACTGTCTAGGTAGTCACAAAGATTCAGCATTCATTCATTCATCCCTCCCTTTCCCTCCATCTATCCTTTCAACAAAAATTTACTGAACATCTAACATATACCAGGAACTAAGGAATAAGTAATAATTGCCAGGCAAAGAATAAGAAACTGACGTAGAACAAGTGGTGTTAAGCTAAAGTTGATCTATGGAAGACACAGCTGGGGACCCTAACCTAGTCTAGAGAGAAGGCTTTCTCTATGAAAGTAAGGTGTGCTGAACCCTAAATTGTGAATAGCAATAGCAAGAAGAGTGGTGGTGGAGAGAAGACTTCCGTAATGAAAGCACCAAGATAAAAGTTTTTCTTTAGGCAGTGTTTTTAACTTGAATGCTACTGGCATTTTTAGCAAGACAATTCTTTGCTGAGCTGGCCTATTTCCCTCATTATTGGACATTTAGCATCCCTGGCCACTAGCCATTAAATGGCAGTAGCACTTAGTCACTGAGATAACCAAATATGCCCTTGTATATTTCTAAATTCTTTCAGGGAGGACAGCCTATTTCCAAAATTTGATTTCAGGTGATAACCGATGCTATAAGGAAGTCAGGAGTTGTCATGGTTGATGACTTCAGAATGATCTCAAGGAGAATGACATGTTCCACTTCTGATTGATGAAGTAGTAATACTAGACTAGTCCTCCCACCATAAACAACTATAAAACAGGCTATAATATTTTACACACATGTTTTCAGACTTTGGACAACAAATACTACCTAAGAAAAGGGAAACAAATGAAGTGAGCCTCAAGATCAAGCTGGCTTTCTGGCTTGAGGCACTTTCCAAACTATAGCATAGAAAGGGGAAACCAAGCATAGTATAGCATTTTTGCTAAAATGGAGAGAGGGAGTTCAGAGAAGAAAAAGTACAGGTCAGAGAAATGGAGAGGAGGGAGCTGTTCAGAGAAGGGCCTCCAGAAATATGCATAGGGGTTCCCTGATCTTAAGCTGAATACTAACGTGCACATATATAGGCTGAAACTCCTCAAGCCAGGCAAAGAACAGCTACTGAGGAAACAACAGCTATAAGCTTAACAACTCCTACAGCTCACAGAGGACAGGGACATGATCAAGTTTTAACCAGAGTAAAGAGAACTCACTGAACACCCAGGGCATTCAGAAGAGACCTCCAAAAAAGAAAACACCTTAACAAGTAAATTAACTATCAGGAAAAAAAATAAACACTTTAAAGGGCAAGAACAAAATTCAGCCCTCAGTAACATAGCCTTTATAATGCATAGCATAAAATAAAAAATTACAAGACAAGTAGCAAGAAAATGGGGGTCCATAATCAGGAGGATAATCAATCAGTCAAAAGAAACAGATCTAGAAATGACAGAAATGATGACATTAACAGACAAGTATTTTTAAACAGCTTTTATAAATGTGTAAATATATGTGTTTAATCAAAACCATAAATATAATGAAGGAACAAAGAAATAATCTCAATACAGAAATAAAAACTACAAAAAGAACCAGGCCTGGCCAGTGTGGCTAAGATTGAGCATCGTCTCAAGGACTGAGAGGTACGGGTTCAATTCCCAGTCAGGTCACATATACTGGTTGTGGGCTCATTCCCCAGTCAGGGGTGAGCAGGAGGCAGCCGATCAGTGTTTCTCTCTCAATCAATGTTTCTATCTCTCTCTCCCTTCCTTTCTCTCTAAAAAATCAATAAAAACATATATATATATATATATATATATATATATATATATATAAAAAGAACCAAATGGGCCCTGACCGGTTTGGCTCAGTGGTTAGAGCGTCAGCCTGCAGTCCGGAGAGACACGGGTTCAGTTCCCACTAAGGGCACGTACCTTGGCTGCAGTTTGTCCCCGGCCCTGGTTGGTCGTGCAGGTGGTAGCCACTGGGCTGTGTCCCTTTCATGTCGATGTTTCTCTCTCTCTCTCTTCCCCTCTCTCTCTCCCACTCTATCTGAACAGAAAATGGAAAAATGTCCTTGAGTGAGGATAAAAAAAAAAAAAGAACCAAATGAAACCTCGAGTTGAAGTACGCAACATGACAAAAAACTAACTGTACATGTTTAACAGCAGAATAGACACTACAGAAGAAAAGATCTTTAAATGTGAAAGCAATGTGATAGAAACTATCCAAACTAAAATGTAAAAAAAAAAAAAAAGCTAAAATATAAAAAATAAAAAAATAAATACAGTTTCAAGGACCCACTGAACAATATATCAAGTATTCTAACATGTGTGTAATTGGCACCCTAGGAGAGGAGATAAAAGAATAGAAAAAATGATATATATATTTTTAGATGTGATGAAAAACTCTAAACTCACAGTTCCAAGATCAATGACTCCAAGCAAGGTAAACACAAAGAAAATAACCCCAAGATACATGACAAATATCTAAAAACTAATGATAATAAAAAATTATGAAAAGAGCCAGAGAAAAAAAGTGAATTAATTATATAAGAAAACAATAAAAAATAATTATTGATTTCTCATCAGAAACAATACACACCAGAAGTAATGAAATGTCATTTTTAAAAGTGAAAGGAGCCCTACCTGGCTAGGTAGCTCAGTTGGTTAGAGCATCATCTGGATACGCCAAGGTTGTGGGTTTGATCCCTGGTCAGGGCACATATTAGAAGCAACCAATAAATGCATTAATAAGTGGAACAATAAATCAATGTTTCTCTCTCTCTCTAAAATCAATCAATCAATAAATTTTTTAAAAAGTGAAAGGAACCTGGATGGTTTGGTTCAACAGTTAGAGCATTGGCCCATGGACCAAAGAGTCATGGGTTTGATTCTGGTCAAGGGCATGCACCTCAGTGCGGTTCATCCCCAGCCCTGGTTGGGGTTGTGTGGGAGGCAACCAGTTGCTGTGTCCCTCTCACATTGATGTTTCTCTCTCTCTCCCTCCCTCCCACTCTATCTGAAGATAAAATAGAAAAATATCCTCGAGTGAGGATTAAAAAAAAAAAAAGTGAAAGGAGATCAGATAAGGTTAAAATTCTATATTTAGTGATATAAAGGCATTTTCTGATAACCAAAAGCTGAAAGAATATGTCACCAGCATATCCACTGTATCAGAAATGTTAAAGGAAGTTCTTCAGGGTAGAGGAAAATACCAGATGGAAATTTGGATCTACACAAAAGAATGATGAGAACTAGAAATGGTAAATATGTGAGTAAATGTTGCTTTTTTAATTTAAAAAAATAACTGAGCCCTGGCCAGTTTGACTCAGCAGTTAGAGTGTTGGCCTGCAGTCCAGAGAGACCCAGGTTTGGTTCCTGCTAAGGACATGTACTGTGGTTGCAGTCTGTCTCCAGCCCTGGTTGGGTCGTGCGGGAGTCAGCCATTCGATGTATCCCTTTCTTTTTTTTTTTTTTATCCTCACCTGAGGACATTTTTCCATGAAAGGGCCAATGTATCCCTTTCATGTCAATGTTTCTCTCTCTCTCTCCCTCCCTCCTTCCCTCTCTCCCTCCCACTCTATCTGAACAAAGAATGGAAAAATGTCCTCGGTGAGGATAAAAAAATAAATAAATAAAATAAAAAATAATTGACTATTTAAAACAAAAGTAATAGCATTAAACCAAAAGTAATAGCAATGGCCCTGGCCGGTTTGACTCAGTGGTGGGAGCGTTGGTCTGTGGACTGAAGAGTTGAAGGTTCGATTCCAGTCAAGGGCACGTACCTCGGTTGTGGTTTGTCCAGCTGATGTGGCTCAGTGGATTGAGCATCATCCCATGGACTCAAAGATCCTGATTCAATTCCCAGTCAGGGCACATGACCAGTTTGCAGGCTCTGTCCCCAGTAGGGGATATGCAGGAGGCAGCTGACTGATGTTTCTCTCTGACATCAATGTTTCTATCTCTTCCTTCCTCTCTCTCTAAAAAAATCAATAAAAACATTTAAAGAATCCTAAACGTGTATGCATTCAATAAGTTTCAAAATACTTGAAGCAAAAACTAACGAGAACTGAAAGGAAAAAATACAAAAATCCACAATTTTACTTGGAGATTTCAATAGTCCTCCCAGTAATTGAGAAAACAATTATAAGGATATAGAAGGCTTGAACGACTTCAACACCTTCACCTGACTGACATATATTGGACACTATACCTACCCACCAACTGCAGAATGCATATTCTTTTCACATACACATAGAACATTCACTAAGATGTATCAAATGCTGGGTCAGAACCAATTTAAAAGGACTATATTACAAAGAATCTTCTCTTATCTCATGAAATAAAACTAGAAATCAATAACAAAAAGAAATCTGGAAAATCACCAAATATTTATAAATTAAGCAACTCATAAATAACCCCTGGGTCAAAGAAGAAATCCCAAGGAAAATTAGAAAATACTTATATCTTTTATTAAAAAGTGTGGAATGCAGCCAAAGCAGAGCTTATAGGGGAGTATTTGCTTTAAAATTCCATATTAGGAAAAAGGTTTAAAAGCAATAAAATTAGCCCTAGCCAGTTTGGCTGAGCAGTTGGAGGGTCAGCCTGTGGACCAGAGAGTCCTGGGTTCGGTTCTCACTAAGGACATGTACCTCGATTGTAGTTTGTCTCCACCCCAGTTGGGGTCGTGTGGGTGGGTGGCAACCAGTTGATGTATCTCTCTCACATCGATGTTTCTCTCTCTCTCTTCCCTCCTCTCTCCCTCCCGCTCTATCTGAAAGAACAAACAAAAAATAAAATAAAAGCAATAAAATTAAATTAAAATGTAAAAAAATAGCTATTATCAATGTGTATTATTTATATACTACCTACCCTAACAGCTAATTTAACTACAAATTAAAAGAGATTTTAGGAATGCACCTGTCTAACCCCAACACTACCAATTTGATGTTTAATAAAGTAACTCACTTTGTATTTTATATTCCCCACCCTAATTGCCAGAATATTTATACAAGGAATGTAAGGCTTTTATACTAAGTTTTTAACCATCCATATGGTAAAGGCCTATAAAAAGAAAAGTCTTTTATTTTTTTAATGAGAAAAAGACTAAACCAAACAAAAACTAAGACGAACAAACCTGTTTCCTATTCTTTTCACGGAATATCTGTAGCTCACGGGTATTTCAGATTCTTCCAGTGAAAACTCTTAACATAATAAGTCAAATGTACATTTATACCTAGTTTACAAGGAAAAAAATCAAGTCAGACTATTTTACTAACATAGTACTGGCATGAAAAGATAGTCATGTTAATATTTTCCAGATGAGGAAATTCTAGCCTAGAAGAGGAAAGCAAAGGCCACCAAAGGCCACATGGTTTTCGAAGCTGAAAGCTAGAACCCTGATTACCTATATCTGAGCCCATGGCTCTACCTACATGACCCCTCCAGACCCTTCAACTTGGTTCACCTTTTGGGATGTCATCATTCCGTAATTCCCTTCTAGGAAGGATACATGCTAGCCCAATTCCAAGTCCACAGACATTACTGAGAAAAGAAGTCTGGGGAATGAGCCAGGAGGCACACAGCAGGAGCCATGGCACCACCATTGAGGGCACAACCATGCCAAATACCAGGGCCCTCCTCATCCGAGAGCGGACAGCGTTGACTCCCAGCATGGCAAAAGCTACTGGGGTGAAACCTCTGGCATCCTCCACCTCCCCCAGCTTCGACAGCGATGACACGGCCTCAAATGACAGGAAGATGATAGCGGAGAAGAGGGCGAAGATCACGGTGAAGAAGCAGTGGCGGACGGTGCCAACGGTTCTCTCAAAATTCCCAGCAAAGCGCCAGATGATGATAGCACCGCAGAGCAGGGAGACTGGATTCTCATAGACAAAGATGTAGGTCACCAGCCTGTAAACTGCAGAGGGAGCTGGGTTAGAGGCCTGACAGTGGGTTGCTCCAAGGTGGGAAAGATAGGTTACAACCCACCTAGAAAAGGGGGAGTAGCTCCCATAACAGAGCACTGAGAACCAGTGAAAATCAGCTAGGAGCCAAGATAAGTAGTGGGAAGCAACAATGATCACAACCCAAGACTCAAAGTAGAGGCATGAACATTTAAATCCCTGCTCTTTCCCACACCTGGAGTAAGTCTTATCACTGACTGATTTCCATGTGGAATAATAACACTTTTTAACATGAGATGGTCTTCAAATTTGTAATTTGTGCTTTATGCCCCCTTTGTAGGTTTTAATACTGACCTATCTCACCAGGCAGTTTGAGGGTTAATTAATTGTAACAGCTTCAAGGTGGATTGAGTGGGTGTCCCTGAACACTCTGTGTGCCAGTCTCCTCGGCTGTAATCCTGACCTCTCCTTCCATAGTGGCTGTTCAGAGGAAGAAAAAAGGGACCATGAATTATTTTGCACCTATAAATATTATCACTATAATCTAGATATAAAAGGTATCACTAATAATATAGATATAAAACTCAGAAGTCTTCCTTGAAAGAGTTTACCCAATCCTACAAGGTAGAGTGACACTTTATATGCAATAAGACAGCAAAGAATTTCACTTTTATTTTTCTAAAAGCAGTCATCTCTTATGTACTTTTATGTCCTCATAGGCCAAAGCATTAAACTGAAGGAGGAGGACTGGTAAAGTGGTAGTAATATTGGACTTGGGAGCCTAAAGGCTTGGGGTGGAATATTGGCTCCATTATGTACAAACTGGTTGAACTTAGTAAAGTCACTGGCTAAGCTTAGTTAAGTCACAGGGCTTCCTGGCTTGTTTCCTCATTGTGAAGTAACAGATTATACTTGAGGCCTTCAAAGGTCTTTTATGTATCTAATACTCATAAGTCCATGAACCCCACACTCAGAGAAGCTGTAAATTAAGGAAAAAAGAGGAGTTCAGTTTAGGCTGACATTTTGCATCTGTCTATGATATGCTCTTTGTCCTGGTGGGGGAAAGTTTTAGATCTGAGCAGGGAGGCAGGCTATGATCCTCGGTCAGGCCATCTCTGTTAGGTTTCATTATCTGAAGAGTATGTCACGTGTTGAATACTTCCAAAACTAAAATTCCAAGTATAAATGTGAAGATTCTAGAAGCAACTCTATACATGATTTGGGTATTATATACCCCAAAGCTTCAGTTCCAAAACATCACATGATAAAAAGAAAAATCTGGTTTCTGTCTCAACTGTATGACTTACTAGCTCTGTGATTCTCTGCATTAAGCCTCAGTCTCATCTAAATAATTAGCAATAATAAAGCCTACATCATGGGATCATCGAGAGGATTAAAAGAGTTTAATGTATGTGAGTGTGCTTTGCAAAACGTCAAGAGTAATACAAATTTCCCATTTCCTCCCCAGAAAAGAAGAGAATTTTACCAGCAGATGTTTATACTTAATTGGTCTCCAAATTTCTCTCCCCCAAAGAAAACAAACATCTCTCCCAAAGGCAAAAGATGCCCCTCTCTGAGTCAGGGTTAAGATAGATACAAACTAAAAAGAAATCCTAAACCTCAAGAGGCCAGGACACTTACAGGAGTAGCCACAGATAAAGCTCTGTCTTGAGAAGGCGCGAGAAAAAAATTTCAGTGGAAGTTAGGCACCAAAGCAGACTTAAGTGTGCATATGACAAGAGAAGGGGAGAGGAAAAATCCTTCTCCTTGAAAAGCGAGAGTGGGTCAATGAAACCTGTTCGCTAGCGAATGTACGTGGGGGGCTTCATCAGTCCGGGGGAGACAGGGAACAAATTAGGGTGGCGAAAGATTACAGTGACGACGAAGATGGGGCTCTGGAAAGACAAAGATGTGAAATATGGGGCTGGTTCTCCGGATGGAGAGAATGATGATACAGACGGGGCAGCTGGGGTAAGGCCTTCTGGCGCGGGTGCCCGGAGGCCGAAGCCCTGGGCCCGGCGAGGTCGGAGAGAAAAGGCCGACACCAGGGGCCCGGCCCCGCCCCGCTCACCTTGCCAGTTGCGCAGGCAATCGGATCGCAGCGAGAGGCCGGAGGGCGGCAGGGGCGGCTGCAGAAGGAACAGGCGGGGCCCGGACACCAGGAGCGAGAGCAGTGCCGTGAAGAAGGTGGCGGATGGCACCTCGGGACACAAGGACCAGTTCCGACATCCAGGTGCCGAGACCGCCATTGCCGCCACAACTCCCGCGCCTGCTAGGCGCCGATTATTCGCCGGCTCCTTCCGGCTCTGCGGCTATCTCCCCTGGCAACAGCGGCGTAGGAGGCCGGAAGCCCCTCCTTCCCAGGCCCCGCCCTCATCCAGCTGCCCAATCGGGGCTCATGGCTCTGGTTTGACTCTCATTACACACAGACACAGACACACACACACACGCACACACACACACACACTCTCATCTCTCACACACACTCTCATCACACACACACAGGTCTGATGTCCCAGGGTAATTCATTTAAATGGCAAAGACAGAATTAGAACTCAGGTCCTCCCACTGCTAAGGAGCGGGTAGGGGGCCAGGACACCTATGCTATGGCCTGGATTTGGCCATGTGTACAGGTGGGCCAGCCTTCGGTGGTAGGGTTGAAGAAGCAGGAGCGTGAGACTAGAGAGGGATTTTATGAAGGCACTGAAGTGTTAGGAATGTAATATAACACTTTAATAATAAAACTTTATTTCAGCACTTCAAGTTAGAAAAGCGCTAACCAGAGAACAGCTGTTTAAGGTTTGGAATATTGTTTCCTCGATTACAGATGCTCCAAAAGTTGAGGCAAACTTGCTTAAGGCCCCAAGTGGGAAGTGGGAAGGACTGAGGTTTGAATTGGGTTTGCTAGGCTCCAATTTTCTGCCCTTTTCACTATACTATTTCCCTCTAATATTCTGCTTCCCTGTATGTAAATTTGACTTGAGGCCACACATACTATTGAAAAATAAATGCTTTGCGGTCTTCTAAATATTCAGATCCATTTTCAGGCCCTACTCTGCCCACTCTCTGTAGCTCTGGCAATGTCTGTATTCCCCTGAACCTCAGGAAGTGAACCTGAGATTCTTCTTCCATGTATAGTACAAAAATATAACCATATAATTTTCCAGACATAAATATAAAACAATGGGCCCGGCTGGTGTAGCTCAGTGCTTGAGCATCAACCCATGCATCAAGAGGTTGCCAGTTCAATTCCTGGTCAGGGCACATGCCCAGTGGGGGGCATGCAGGAGGCAGCCAATCAATGTTTTCTCTCATCAATGTTTCTGTTTCTCTCCCTCTGCCTTCCTCTCTCTCTAAAATCAATAAAGAAAAATATTATAAAACAGCCCTGGCCAGTTTGGCTCAGCGTTTAGAGCGTTGGCCTGCAGTCCAGAGAGACCCTGGTTCACTTCCCGCTAAGGGCACGTACCTCAGTTGCAGTTTGTCCCCGGTCCTGGTTGGGTCGTGTGGGTAGCAGTCACTTGATGTGTCCCTTTCACGTCGATGTTTCTCTTTCTCTCTCTCCCTCCCACTCTATCTGAGCAAAAAAAGGAAAAATGTCCTCAGGTGAGGATAAAAAAATATATATATAATAAAACAATGGGACATATTTAAGTGAATACTGCATTCATCTAAACTAATGCTGCTCATGACATAGCAATTAGCACAAACATTAATTAATATTTTACTCAATAGGATGCAAAATATAAATCAGTAGTGTGGTGGAGCTGCTAAAAATAGTGAATGGGAACTTAGGCTGCTGGAACCAAAGTCTGGGCCTTAGAAAGAGTAAGGTGGTCCCATCTCCTCTGTGCCAGTCCAGTCATTCCAGGGGTTCTGTATCTACTTATAGACACACAGTCTGAAAAAGGGTGTGGGAAAACTAGTTTGTCCAACAAACAGTGACCAGGATTGAGAGGGGGAGCAGGAAAGAGACCAGAGAGACTTCCCTTCCAGAATGGGCCACTGGCTGTAACTATCTGAAGGGCTTTCCTGGAGGAGTGGGAGTAGATTTATTCTGTGTTTCCCCAGAGGGGAGCACTGAAGCAGAATGATGGAAATGACGCAAAGGGAGATATACCTAAGAGCTTTCTAACAGTTTGGGCTACCCATCCATGGAATGAGCTGCTTTGATCAGTAGTGGGCTCCCTTGGTACTAGATATGTGCAAGTAGAAGCCATTTGGTGGTTTGATGAGAATGTTCAAGAGATAGTCAAGCATCAGGTTGAAGGTGGAACTAGATGCCTTTTTAAATATTTTTTGATCCAAAGTTCTAAGATTCCATAAACAAACACGAATGCATTTGGAGGGTTGATACATTTACCATTTACCAGAGGGTAAAGGATAATTAATTTGGTCTCCTGGCAGAATGAATTGTGGTGATTTCACATATTATACAGCCAAAGGATGTGTAGTCTACTGCAAGGAGGTCTCCTGTCTCTAATTCTGCCTCTCTCTCTCTCTCTCTCTCTCTCTCTCTCTCTCTCTCTCATTCAGCCTCCCTCTCTTCATTTTCCCCCCAATTATACCTCCAGAAAACTCAAAGACTTTCCCTTAATCTCAGGGGATAGAGAACTGGAATGAAAAAACAGAGCCTCCTTCAGTAGGCAGGCACAGGGATGGAGCACCACGGAACATGAGCTCATTTTTATCTTATGTGCTTTGCCCTTGGTCCACAAAGACACTTCTAGCCTCAAATGTGCTACCCAGAGATACCTCTGTTTACAGTTCTGCTGGGCATCCTCCTCCTACTTGGAGAGTGCCTGGTTCTCCATGTGCCAGATTTTGAGGCTGGGAAAACAGGTGAGTTCTCAGGGAGCACACATACCAGTGTCGACATTTCTAGCTCAAATCCATAAGCAAAAGCTGTCATCTCTACCTGCAACCTATTCCTCACCCAGCAGCCTGGGTGGTTTATTAAAAAGTAAATTAGAAGATGCCCTTGTTACAGTTTATAATAGAACATCCCAAATGTTCTATTCCCGTTCTGGCCAGTTGCTCAGCGGTTAGAGCATCGGCCCATGGACCAATGAGTCTCAGCTTCCATTCCAGTCAAGGGCACGTACCTTGGTTGTGATTCCTCCCGGGCCCTGGTTGGGGTCATGTGGGAGGCAGCCACTCGATGTGTCCCTTTCACATTGATGTTTCTCTCTCTCTCTCTCCCTTCCTCCCACTCTATCTAAACAAAGATGGAAAAAAGTCCTCGGGTGAGGATAAAAAAAAAAAAAAAAAGAATGTAAATATCCAAATGTTCTATTCTTTGCTAACCTTCCTCAGCTCATCTTCTACCACTCTACACGCCCTGTGGGAGATGGAATAATGACCCCCAAATATGTCCATGTCCTAATCCCTAGACCCTCTGTGTAGCAAAAGAGACTTTGCAGATGTGATTTAGAAATCTTGAATGGGAAGATTATCCTGGATTATCTGAGTGGGCCCAATAGAATGGTGAGGGTCATTTAAGAAGACAGGAGGGTCAAAGGGAGAGAAGGTGATGTGACAGAAGCAGAGGTTGGAGCTATGTGCTTTTTTTTTTTTTTTTTTTTAATCCTCACCGGAGGATAATTTTCTATTTATCTTCCGATAGAGTGGGACAGAGAGAGAGGGAGATAAAGGGAGAGAGAGAGAAACATCAACATGAGAGGGACACATCAACTGGTTGTTTCCTGCACGACCCCGACCAGGGCTGGGGACAAACCTCAACCAAGGTACGTGCCCTTGGCTGGAATCGAAACAGAGACTCATTGGTCAGCAGGCTGACACTCTACCGCTGAGCCAAACCAGCCAGGGCAGAGCTATGTGCTTTGAAGGTGGAGGCAGGGGCTGCCAGCCGAAGAAGGAAGCAACCTTGAGAAACTGGAAAAGGCAAGGAAACTGATTTCCCCCTGGAGTTTCCAGAAGGAACAGCTCTGTTGATACCTTGATTTTAGCCTTGTAAAACTCATTTTGGACTTCTGACCCCCAGAACTGAAAGATTATAAAGTTGTTAGTTTTTTCCAAATTTTAAAAATTGCAGTAAAATACATATAACAGTTACCATCTTAACCATTTTAAGTGTAGAGTTAAGTGGTATTAAATACATTAGTAATGTTGTGCAACCAGCACCACCACCCATCTCCATAACTCTTTCTATCTTGTAAAACTGAGACTCTATGCCCATTAAACAATAACTCTCCAATCTACACTCTCCCAACTCCTGACAACTGCCATTCTACTTTTTGTCTACAGAGATGTTGACTACTCTAGGTAGCTCATATAAGTGGAATCAGGCAACATTTGTCTTTTTGTGACTGGCTTATTTTACTTAGTATAACGTCCTCAAGGCTCATCTATGTTGTAGCATGTGTCAGAATTTCCTTCCTTTTAAGGCTGTATAATTTTCCATTGTTTATCCATGAATCTGTCAATGGACACTCGGGTTGCTTCCACCCGTTAGCATTGTGTATAAGGCTGCTAAAAACATAGGTGTACAAATATCCCTTTCAGACTTAGTTTTCAATTGTTTTGGGTGTATACCCAAAAGTGAAATTGCTGGGTCATATGATACTTCTATTTTTAATATTTTGAGGAACCTTTCCACTGTTTTCTCCAGCAGCTGCACCATTTTATATTCCCACCACCCACCAACAGTGCACAATTCCAATTTCTCTACATCTTCATCAACACTCATTATTTTCTGCTTTTTTTTTTATAGTAGCCATCCTAATGGGTGTGAAGTGGTCATTTGTGTTGTTTTAAGCCACCAAGTTTATAGTAATTTGTTACAGCAGCTGTAGGAAGTGAATATGGTCTCTCACTCACTACATTGATGTCCTTTCTGTTTTCAAACAAGCCAAAGTCTGTCTCGCCTCAGGGCCTTTGCATGTGCTTTTCCCCTTGTTGAATGTTCTTTTCCTGGATCTTAGTGTGGTGGCCTCCTTCTTAGCCAGCTCAGATGCTGCTTCCTCAGAAGGGCCTTCCCAGATCACCCTCCCTATTATTTCTTCTCTCGGTGCAACTTGCCACAGTATCAAGTTATCTCACCTACTGGGCCTCTACTTATCTGATTGTCTGTCACTACTACTAGACTAAGTTTCCCAAGAGCAGTGACCTGCTGTGTCCTCCACTACCTAGAATAGAATGTGGCACATAGTTGGTGCTCAGAAATATTTGTTGGTCTCTCTTCTACGCAGCTGGTGTCTGTGGTGCGCGGAAGAAAAGGCTGCAGTGGGTCAGAGGGCTCCAGGAGGTGATAAGCGCTAAATGTCTCACTTTGCACC